ACTGTCACCAGACCAGTGTAAGCCAGTAACCGTGTTTCTGATCATCGCCACCACAGTTCCAGAGTCACCAGAACAGTGCAGCCAGCAATAGTGTTTCTGATTTTCACCACACCAGCAAGTGTTCTTGGTTGGCACCTCACCAGTATCAGTGGCCCCAACTGCTGTAGCCTGCAACACTCTTCCTGATCACCACCACGAGTGCCAGTGTCCACCAGACCAGTGCAAGTCAGTAACCATGTTTCTGATTGTTGCCGCAACAGTGTTCTTGGTTGGCATCTCACCAGTATCAGTGGCCCCAACTGCTGTAACCAGCAACACTCTTCCTGATCACCACCACACCAGTCCCAGTGTCCACCAGATCAGTGCAAGTCAGTAACAGTGTTCCTGATTGCTTCTACAACAGTCTTAGTGTCACTACACATATGCAAGCCAGCAACAGTGTTCCTAATCATCACCACACCAGTGACAGTGTCACCAGGTAAGTGTAGGCCAGCAGCAATGTTCCTGATCACTGCCACACCAGTGCAGTGTCACAAGACCAGTGTAATTCAGCAACAGTGTTTCTGATTGATAGCCACATGTGTCCCAGTGTCATTAGACCATTGTTAGCCATCAATCGTGTTCCTGATCGCTGCCACACTAGAAGTCAGAAACAATGCTTTTGATCGCCACCCCATGAGTCCCAGTGTCACCAGACCAGTGTAAGCCAGTAACAGTGTTTCTGATCATCGCCAGACTAGTCCCAGAGTCAGCGGAACAGTGCAGCCAGCAACAATGTTTCTGATTGTCGCCACACCTGCAACAGTGTTCTTGGTTGGCACCTCACCAGTATCCGTGTCCCCAACTGCTGTAGCCAGCAACACTCTTCCGGATCACCACCACACCAGTCCCAGTGTCACCAGATCAGTGCAAGTCAGTAACAGTGTTCCTGATGGCCTTAGCTAGCAATAGAAATGCAACAGGTTCTAATCCTTCCCCACTCAGTTTAAAACTAGACTGGACTTATATTTCAAAAATGTAGCTAACATTGCATATAAGCTTGGTTTATTTTACCTCAAATTTCAACAAGGGAAAATTGCAGGTGACTTTCCACCACAGTGGACAGATGGAGCTGCAAACCCAAGCTGATTCCTCACAGATCATGTAGAGTTGGTGCTGCCTGAGCTCTGTCTGGTATCACTGGAGGGTTTCGCTTGGAAGATTGGATGGAGGAAACCATTCTGTCCATGAGTCTTGTGAGTTCTGACATTGAGGAATTTGGGCACTCTGTGTGCTTGCTACTTCTACCTGAGGTTTGATAGTCAGCGTGGGTCTGGAAAGACTTTGCTCTGCTACGTTACGTTTGAGCTGTCACAGTCTGTCCTAACTGGCTTATACCTGTAACTACTACTACTGCAATGAGGGACTTTGCTCACTCCTAAACTACTTGTTGCTACAAAAAAAAAGGGAAGTCTGCTATCTGCTTCAACTAAGAGATTGTGGCAGCACCCAAATATTGCAGAGTTCCCCTTTAAACTTTAACATTTCTAACAGTCTCTGCTCGCAAGGTCATCAGCTCACTTCCCCCCTCCCTTATTTCCTGTGAAGTAATGTGTTCCAGTCTGTAGCTGGTACTCTTATCTGTAGCTGAAGATAAATGATCTAGCAAGGCTATATTCTGAATTGCTTAGAAAGCCTTTTGAATGTACAGAAAGTGAAAGAGATAATATATGTATTGTGACATAATTGCTGATATGTATACTCTGTGAGATGTTTTTCAAGCCACTTAGCTTGCTGGCATGAGCCCTTGCTGGGTCACTCAGTGCTGATTAACCCCCTTGGCGGTATTCCCGAGTGTAGCTCGGGGTTAACTTTCAGTACCAGAAGCAGTAACCACGAGCTACACTCGGGATTACCCTGCAGCATTGCTCAGGGATCCCTCCAGCACTTACCTTGTCCTGCGCTCCCCCCAATGTCCCCCTTGCAACGTCCCCGTCCATGTCCTCCGGTCGATGCAGGCATTCATCTTCCGTGTTCCATTCCCTGAGAGCATCGGGACATACGGGGGACGGAACCGACGGGAAATTCAAAAATTTGACGTTCACTCAATACACTAAAATCTGATAGTATTGCATTACTCTATCAAACCATTTCACATACATTTTGTCCCGAGTGCTTTGTCCTGCGCCCTACCTGCATTTTTACTGTTCTTTCTGCCTGGAAACTGAGAAACGTCCATGGCGTCCAAAAGGCATCCCTTTAGGTCAAAAGCGGTTTTAGACCGGCTAGAGAACAGCGATAGTAAATTAGAACCACTTGCAGAATTGAGTGATAATGATTCGTGGGGGAAATTCCTCATCAGACACTGAAAACAATTCTGCGACTGACCTCCACGATGTGCGAACTTAGTGCTCTATTTCAAATTTCAGTGTTTTTGGTTTGATTATATTATTGAATTAAATGTATTATTATTATATTCATATTTTTTATGATTATTTATTATATTATAATTTATTATTTCATGTTTCAAATTTTATCATACCCGGGATGTTTACTAGACTCTTGTTCGGACAGATTTCAGTGAGTTATTCCTCAGAATTACAGGACTACAATAAAAAACAACATATTTCCCTTGAAAACAATGTACCACTTTGAGGACAGAAATACTGACATAATCAGACCGCCAGGGAGGTTAAATAAAAAGTTTGTTTTCCTCAAGTTTGTGTCCAGAGGTTTATTTATTATTACAGTTACTTATAACACCACCAATATTTTGTACATATATATCCCTAACCCTTGTACAATCTAAGGTCATCAAGGGGTCAATCTAAGGTCTAACCCTCAAGGGGTGTACAATCTAAGGTCCCTAACTCACATTCATACATACACATACTAGGGACAATTTAGACAGGATCCAATTCACCTACCAGCATGTCTTTGGAGGAAACCGGAGTATACCCACACAGGCAGAACATGCAAACTCCAGGCAGGTGGTGCCGTGGTTGGGATTTGAACCAACGACCCGAGTACTGCCAGGTGGAAGTGCTAACCATTTAGCCACTCTGCTGCCCTAGTTTTACCTGGTATTCCTAAAGTAGCTACTACAAGATCAGCTAGATGTCCTCAGTGTGAATAGTTCTAATTTTGGAGTATCCTACTACAATTCCCCATCCCTATCCCCAGTTCTACAATAAAACTCCAATAACAAATATACCCTAGACTGGTCATTGGAGACAACAAGTGGAAGTATGTGTGAGTGTATTTAGCTGAAGAAATACGCTGTGCCTGGCTGGGGGGCGAATTAAGGGGAAACTGGGACATCATACAAGCGACTTTCGCAAGGGAAGCTCTACAAATGTGATCTGTCAGTAAACCATATTCCCAGCCCCAGGGTGGGTTTACTACCCCCCGCCTGCTGTGAAGTTTTGTCAAAGCCATAACATTCTTCCTACTGTAATGTTATCCTGTGTCACTGTCACTTTAACTCCTACAGCTTTGTGTCTTTAATTCCCTCCATGGGTAGGACAAAGGACACGTGACTGGAAAGTCCTAGCTGGAACATATAACAATGTAATATGCAGTGCAACGCTGGAACCCTACTGAAAGCAGCTGAAGATCTGCACGGCTTCTAAATAAGAGAGAGAATTAAGGAAGACTATGAATGACCCAAAGAGCGGTGAGATCATTGTCTGAACGGATACAAAGCAAATGATCAACTGGGGAATTGCAGACGTGTTCACAGCCTTGGAGTGCATTTAATCCACCCCGAGCTTCTACAAAGGAACCAGGATCAGATCTGCACATTGTAATTAAAACATTTGAGGTCTTGGAGTACCTAAGTGGACTGGTTGTTTGAGAGGTGAGCTTGGACAAGTGCAGCTCTGGTGACTCTTCTCATATATTATTCTATGCATCTTGTTTATCACTTATAGAACAAACTCTCAGTTTTATTTCTTCTCCTGCCGGCTACAATGGCATCTGCTGATCTGATAGACGAGCTGAGCTGCTCCATCTGTCTGAACATTTATACGGATCCGGTAACACTGAGATGTGGACACAACTTCTGCCGGGAATGTATTGACTGTTTGCTGGACAGTCAAGAGGCATCTAGACTTTATACCTGTCCGGAGTGCAGAGAGAGGTTCCGGGAGCGACCTGTACTGTCTAGCGCTAGAACTCTACGTAACATAGCAGAGAAGTTCCTTATTTCCCAGCCTTATCGGGAAGATACGGGAATCTATTGTACTTACTGTTTGGAATCTCCTGTACCGGCTATAAAATCCTGCCTGCACTGTGAGAGTTCTCTGTGTGACAAACATTTGAGAGTCCATGTCAAGTCACCAGAACATGTCTTGTGTAATCCCACCAACTCCCCCGGGAACAGAAAATGCTCCATGCATAAAAAGATTGTGGAGTATTACTGCACCAAGGAAAGGGTTTGTATCTGTGTTTACTGTATTGCCGTTGGAATACACAAAGGACACCAAGTGGAGTCACTGGATGGAGCCTTTGAGAAGAAGAAAGAGAAGTTGAGCAAAGATCTGGAGATCATGACCTCAAAGAAAGCATGGGCTGAGCAACAAGTCCAGAGTCTGCAAGAACGCAGGACAGACATGCTAGAAAAAGCAGCCGGTGTACTAGAGAGAGTCACTGCCCTGTTTGGAGATATCAGGAGAGAGCTGGAAGAACTTGAGAAGAAAGTCATAAGTGAGATTTCCAGGCAGGAGGAGAAGATCTCACAATCTATTTCCCATCTGATCCATCAGCTGGAGATACAGAAGGACCAGCTGTCCAAGAAGATGAGTCATATTGAGGAATTGAGTAAGAGCACCGACCCAATGACCGTCCTGAAGGATCAGAACTCAGACGGAGAGGACATCTGTCATACTGAGCAGGAGGATCATAGGGAAACAGTGATTCCGAGTGAAGGCGATTTCTATGAGGATCTCATCAAAGAAAGATTACAAAAACTATCTGACCTAATCAAAGATATTCCCATCTGTATACAGCAACCAGAAGGTGTTTTACTAGATGAGGAAACAGCTGCTAATGATATAAAGATTTCAATGGATTTAAAAACTGCATCTTTAGTAGCAGTAAAACTAAATCGTCCAGATTCTCCCAAAAGATTTAAGTACTATCAAGTTCTCAGCAGGAGAAGCTTTTCTTCAGGGCGGCATTGCTGGGAGGTGGACACGAGTTATTCAAGTAGCTGGAGAGTCGGACTGTGCTATCCAAGCATGGACCGGAAATCATATATTGGGGATAATAAAGATTCCTGGTGTTTGCAAAGGTGTAACCATGATGAGTATAATAAGGTGCATGAATGTATACGTATTCCATTTCTCCACAAGCCTACCTGTGATAAATTCAGGATCTATCTGGATTATGAGGCCGGGCGAGTCTCATTTTATGAACTGAGAGACCCAATCAGACACCTCCACACCTTCACCACCATCTTCACTGAGCCCCTCCATGCTGCAATTTCTATTTGGAAAGGATCAATAACCATTATAAACTAGGGATACATTTTGCTGCATGTTTCATTCTGTCAGGTCTATGCAAATCTGAATTAGTTTGAGTTAATGTCTGGTGGATGCTAAAGAATTAAAAATGAATTCTATGATCTTTGTTTCATACTTGCATTAGTCCAACTTGGACCAGTGTAGGTATACTGTACATATCTCATATCGGGGAGGCTGCTCGCTTGTCACTGCCGCCATTCTAAAAACGCCTTATATTTTTTCACTGGTTGCCAGGTATTTTGTGATTGGACAAGATGAAGATCATGATGCCACTGGTCCTCTCCTCTCCACCTTGTCCACTCGGAGTGCGCCTTGTATTAATTGTAAAAAATAAAGGCGTTGTGTGAATGGCAGCAGTACTAAGCGAGTAACCCCATGTGTGCAGTAAGCTGATCAGCACAGGGCTCAAAAGATCGCAGCAGTCACCAGGGCCATCTTAATAGCATAATGGGCCCCTGGGAAAAGTAATGTGCTGCAGCCCCTATCAGCCTGCCCCAATTTACGCACCTACTCTCAAGAATTAAAGTATAAATAGACATATATTTATTAGTTTGGTAAAATTGATTTTAAACAATAAGAAAATGTGCATTAAATTAATTACTAATCAACACAAAGGGCACAGTACAAGGGGGGGGGGGGGGGGGGGGGAAGACAGTAGGGCACAGTACATAGGGAGTCAGGAGGGCACAATACTGAAATCAGGAGGGCACAGTACAGGTTCTGGAATGCTCCCTGTGCCATCCCCGGACAGTTTAGTAAAAATCAGGACTGTCCCAGCACATCCGGGACTGCTAGCAAGTATGATGTAATGCAAGATTATCATGGGGCCCCTATACACCTGGGGCCCCTGGACAGTACCCTGGAGTGCCCATACATTAAGACAGCCCTGGCTATCACTGTAGTTGCACCGACTACTACAACGAATGTCTGCTTCCCCAGTGGCTTCAGAGATACAGTACATATTTATATTAATGTATACTGAACTAATGTAATTATGCAAAAGAGATCACACATGGAGTTCAGCTTCAAAGCTGAAGCTTAGATATGGCTTTTTTTTTTGCATAGTTACATCGGTCCAGATTGGACCAACATACACTGACGTCCCTAGTGGGGTGTGCGCCGCACCGGGTGACACCTTTCGCACGGGGTGACACCAAAAAGTTTTAAAGCAAGCCGACGATCCCCGCAAGATGGAACGGATGTGCGGTAACACGTGGTGTCACCCCTCCAGAGGCGGGCAGTCCCTGTCATGCACACACAGCCTGGCTCTTCCCCTCCCTGTGTTTCTGTCGCATATAGTACAGGAGTGTGTAAAGTACAATATAGTATACATAGTGTAGGGGTGTGTAATGGACAATATAGTATGCATAGTGCAGGAGTGTGTAATGGACAATATAGTGCATAGTGCAGGAGTGTGTAATGGACAATATAGTATACATAGTGCAAGAGTGTGTAATGGACAATATAGTATACATAGTGCAGGAGTGTGTAATGGACAATATAGTATGCATAGTGCAGGAGTGTGTAATGGACAATATAGTATGCATAGTGCAGGAGTGTGTAATGGACAATATAGTATACATAGTGTAGGGGTGTGTGTAATGGACAATATAGTATGCATAGTGCAGGAGTGTGTAATGGACAATATAGTATACATAGTGCAGGAGTGTGTAATGGACAATATAGTATACATAGTGCAAGAGTGTGTAATGGACAATATAGTATACATAGTGCAGGAGTGTGTAATGGACAATATAGTATGCATAGTGCAGGAGTGTGTAATGGACAATATAGTATGCATAGTGCAGGAGTGTGTAATGGACAATATAGTATGCATAGTGCAGGAGTGTGTAATGGACAATATAGTATACATAGTGCAGGAGTGTGTAATGGACAATATAGTATGCATAGTGCAGGAGTGTGTAATGGACAATATAGTGTACATAGTGCAGGAGTGTGTAATGGACAATATAGTATACATAGTGCAAGAGTGTGTAATGGACAATATAGTATACATAGTGCAGGAGTGTGTAATGGACAATATAGTATACATAGTACAGGAGTGTGTAATGGACAATATAGTATACATAGTGCAGGAGTGTGTAATGGACAATATAGTATGCATAGTGCAAGAGTGTGTAATGGACAATATAGTATGCATAGTGCAGGAGTGTGTAATGGACAATATAGTATGCATAGTGCAGGAGTGTGTAATGGACAATATAGTGTACATAGTGCAGGAGTGTGTAATGGACAATATAAGATACATAGTGCAAGAGTGTGTAATGGACAATATAGTATACATAGTGCAGGAGTGTGTAATGGACAATATAGTATACATAGTGCAGGAGTGTTTAATGGACAATATAGTATACATAGTGCAGGAGTGTGTAATGGACAATATAGTATACATAGTGCAGGAGTGTGTAATGGACAATATAGTATACATAGTGCAAGAGTGTGTAATGGACAATATAGTATGCATAGTGCAGGAGTGTGTAATGGACAATATAGTATGCATAGTGCAGGGGTGTGTAACGGACAATATAGTATGCATAGTGCAGGGGTGTGTAACGGACAATATAGTATACATAGTGCAGGGGTGTGTAACGGACAATATAGTATACATAGTGCAGGGGTGTGTAACGGACAATATAGTATGCATAGTGCAGGGGTGTGTAACGGACAATATAGTATGCATAGTGCAGGGGTGTGTAACGGACAATATAGTATACATAGTGCAGGAGTGTGTAATGGACAATATAATGTATATACTGTAGTGCAGGGGTGTGTACTGGATAATATAGTGTATATACTGTAGTGCAGGGGTGTGTAATGGATAATATAGTGTATATACTGTAGTGCAGGGGTGTGAACTGGATAATATAGTGTATATAGAGCAGAAGTATGTAATGTACAATACAGTGCAGGAGTTTGTTAAGCTGGCCATGGACAGTTTTCTCTTGTTCAGCCCAGTGGCCATATTTAGTGACAAGCTTATAGAGGCCCACGCCAATGTGGAAGCAACTAAAGTGCAGAACTCCTTTGATAAAATAGAGGCAGAGATGAAAGCTCAAAGATTCTCCAAATGAAAAGGGAGGAAGCAGCTGCCCTACTGAATTCCTTGAACAAGCGATGAGAGAAAGTCACAATCCAGAATGTTTTATCCCAGCAGAACAAGAAGATTCCATAAAGCACACTAAGGACTATGAGGACTATGTCTTAATCCAGAGCAGCAGATTTTCAGTCACTTGATTTTCCTGACAACATTGCAGTGTCAGCCTCTTGTTAGTAATATGACTACTTCTTGTAGTATGGACTAAAATTGAGTAAAGGTTAGTAAAGATTAATCGTGAAGTCTGACAATTTCAGACGAGGAGTGTTCTGTAACGCTTATCGTGTATCCATCAGTTTGCCTTGTTCTTGTATGTATGTATGCATGTGTGTAAGGACTGTTCTGTCTCTCCAATCTAAGCATTGAAAGTGTGATCTCTGTAACTTGTAACAACTATGATGAGATAGCGGTAACTCCAATCTTAGTTGAATAACACAGGCAGTGGCTTGATCTAGATGACACCTTTTAGATCTTGTTAAGTTTATTCCATAAACTGAGAGAATCTTACAACAATGAACATTTGATAGGTCAAAAGATCATAATGTGATCTGCTTCATGACAGGAGGCTTAAAGCTGAAATGCCTTACTGGGAAAAGGGGTGGGGCTATTTATACAGCAAGAACTAAACTAAAGGAAAGGGAGGAGCAGAGACAAAATACAAAGAACACTTAAAGGCATATGACAGTCATGTGAAACATGACAAGGACCTTTGTAATAACATCCAGGAGTAGTTCAGTGCAACTATAATTTGTAATGTCCATAAAGTGGTACAATCCAGTTTACCTGCATGTTTGCATTAGTTGACTAAGCCCTTAGCTACACCCCTCCCTTCCAATTCTTCTTGTTCCCTTAGTTTCTAGCCTTCACTGTGGGTACGAGATGTAGAGGATTATCGTTCATTCACACTTTGATAAGACCGTTATCATCCATGTATTGCATATTGACAAATAAAACCACTTTGGATTACACTGCCGTGTTTATTGGAGAGTTGAGCTGCCTTTGGAGGGTGCTTATGTAGCAAGTGATCATAGTGGCTGGTGGGGCACACTGACCACCAATGTAAGGAGCACACTGACCACCAATGTAAGGAGCGTACTGACCACCAATGTAATGGGCACACTGACCATCAATGTAAGGAACACACTGGCCACCAATGTAATTGGATGGAATGCAATGTTGGGAGATAATTATTGTGCTGTGTTGGGGGTTTAATTATTGTGCCGTGCTGGGGGTTTAATTATTGTGCCATCCTAGGGGTTTAATCATTGTGCTTTGCTAATGTGCTGGGGTTATTGCTGGGTATTATTATTGCTGGCCATGACACTTGCTAGAAGCTATCTTTGCTGATCCCGACACTTGCTGGGAGTTATCATTGCTGACCCTTGCACTTTCTGGAAGTTAGCATTGCTGGGACCAATCGGGCATACTTTATTTCCACAATCTCTTCAGAGTATTTCCAAGCTCTATTGTTTTCATCGTTTGTGGGAAAGGTGACACACTGCAAGTCACACATGGTAAAGAAACATCTGCTTTCTGGACCATGACCACTTTCTGAACACACCCAAAAATGTGCAGCAGGTGGCATGCTACAGACACCACGTTAGCTGCCCCCACTTGTAGTGTGCACAGAGCCCCCCCCCCAAGAAATTTCCCTGGTGGATGATCACTGTTTTATAAAGCTACTCCAGGTATGATATTTATAGCATACTTCCATTGGTC